ATGTCATTTTGTACTAGTGCTTGGAGTTGGATCATTGTAATTATTTTGAGTGCGTTACACAACAGATTACATAGGAAAAGTCTCTATTTAAACAAATCAGAAAATACATAATAAAAATCTGTATTGAAAATTATCCAATAATATTATGTATTCAAAACCAAAACAAAAAACTAAAACCAAACACAATACTGCGATAATAATATAACATAAAATAGAATATGACTTACATACATATTTGGGTAAGAAACCCATATTGAAAAGTGCACATCGATTTAATAGATTCAAAAAATTTATGTTAAACCCATAAAATTTTTATTCTTAGAAAATCAACCAGAATGATTTAATAAAAAAAATTTAAAAATTTAAGATTAATTTAGAAACCATAAACATATCCTGTTTAGTAAAATCACAACAATTGGGTCGTGACAAATAGAGTGAGATTTGCAAACCCACGAACAATATCATCTAAGGGTTTGGGTTTGATTTGGCCTTACAGTGGTAGTGGCCAAGGATGGATGATGATGGAGTAAGGATAGATCATGGTGTGGGTGCATCAGTTCTATGATGGTATGGATGGAAGGTAAAGCTGGTGGATGTGATGATGGTGAATGGAATGTAGAGATGGTGGATGTGAGAGCTTAGAGAGAGAAAAATGAGAGAAGATGAAATTGAGGGTAAAATGGAAAATTCACACCTTGTGTGGAGGGTATTAAAGTCAATGAAAATTTTCTGTTAGTTCTGTTAAGAGACAAACACTGGCAGGGGGGTCAGTGTAATTTCTGAAACATCCAAGAGAAATTTGTTTTAAAGATAAACCTCAGGGGGTATCAGTGTAATTTACCCAATATTATTTTATTCATTTTAATTTGGAATTATTTTTTATAAACTCAACACAATTAATTCCAAAATATAAAAAGTAATACTTTTTTAATGTTTAGCTAGGATAAACTACTAGCTGCATTTGTCGAGTCAAAACCATCAAAACTAAAATAGCTAACTTGATAATTAGCTTGATAGAGGTAAAATTTAATAATTTATTCAATATTTTAGTTAAAAAATAAAGGGCAAATTATACTAAAAGTCCCTATAGATTGGGGCTCGTGTCACTTTAGTCCTTGACTTTTCAATTGTGACACATTTGATACTGAATTTTGAATCTTGTTCCAAATAAGGACAATTGAAGATATCATTGCTCAATTTCAAGGACAAAGTCGCCAATTTGATAAAATATAAACTAATTTGACAAAAATAAATGTCAAAAAAATATTTTTGAATTTTTAAAAATTATTTATATCCACCAAAGATAAAATTATATAAAATTGATAAATTTTTTACTCATTTATTTATTTATTTTATTTATCAAATTAATTTTTATTATGTGTTTGGATGATAATCATGTGATGTATGGTTGTTAATTGTCGCCATATTTAAATTTTGAAAAAAGTGAAATGATTATAGGGTTGGATGTAATATTTTGTTTGGATGTGTTTTTTTTGATTTTGTAAAAAGTTTGTCTTTTAGTGAAAAAAATGAGAAAAAAATTTGAAACCTAGGTTCCCAAACACCACCATAGTTAGATTACAATTGAAAGAGTTCACTGTTGTTCCATCAATTTAAATTCCTGACCTTTCCTTCACCGTACCCTAAGGTGTGACTAATGGACCATCGGGCCAAACCCCACTGATGGAGTTACATACCTGATTTCATGTGCACCTGACTTCAATTAACCATACTAGATGAAAGATGAAAGGATGCTGTAATTATATTAAAATTGTAAAATTTATTATATTTTTTTTCTAAAACTTAAGGAAGATCAATATAGTTTACCTATTCATTACTTTTGATAAGAAAAACAAAAATTAAATTCTAAAAAAATCCTCTTCATTTCTTATCTTCTTAGGTCATCTCTAATCCTTTACTCTTTTTTTTCCATCCAATTTGATTTTAAATTTGAGTAAAAAATTTAATTTGATACTGCTCCAACTTTTGCATAAAATTTTCATTAATTTAAAAAAAAAAAATCTTTTGTTATACCAAATTTGATTTGATGAAAAAAATAATCTTCAATGCTTTATTCTTTTAATTTTTCATTAAATTCAAATTTAATGAAAAAATGTTTTCTTCCTTGATTTAATAAAATATTTTTTTTTTTTGGGTAAAAAATAACAGTTCGAATTTAGTAGTTAAATTACAACATTTGAACCTAAAACCTTACCCTCTTTGGCAACTAAATGCCTTCTGTATGACTACTTTATTCAAAAAGAATTTGAGTTTATTTTTTGAGAATTAGAGATATTCTTAATTATCTAAACAAATAATAAAAATAAAAATCTATTTCTCCATTTTGTTTTGTTTTGCTTTTTGGGGGGGGGGGAATTACAATAAACCCCTCTCAACTATTATCCATTTTTAAGTTGCCCCCTAATATTTAAAATTCAACACTCAACCCCCTTCAAGTATATGAAATACAAAAGCTATTAGCACTGTTAACTTAAAACATCAACCGGTTCAGACTTCTTTCCAATTTGAGATCGAATTGAAATGTGTTGTTGGGTCTGTGGTGGCCTACCACGAGTCCTATTTTGATTATTGAAATCATTCAATGTGTAAAACTCGTCCAGTATTTCATCCCTATAAAAAATATGTTAATCGGATATCGATAGCCACTTGATTTAATCATATTTCTGTCAACGGTAAATATAATTTTAAAAACAATTGTTGACAGAAATCTAATATGATCAAGTAGCTATCGATATCCGATCAACGTGATTTTTTGCAAGAATGAAATATTCGACGAGTTATACACATTGAACAATTCGAATTATTGAAACAAGAGCCGAAATGGGCCCCATAAATCCAAACAGTAGAGTTCAATCCACATAATAAATTGAAGAGAATCTCAGAAAAGCCTCAAACCCCCACTGGAGGTGACCCCCAAGGCCCCCAGTGGGGTGTGATTGGTTGAATATATATATATATATATATATATTTTTTCCTTGGTCCACAGCCTCCCACGTGGAGGTGGGGGTGTTGGGAGTCACCCCTTTAGTTCCAAAAAGAAAAACCCACCATATGCCTTCCCCTCTAGTTCCAAAAAGAAAAACCCACCATATGCCTTCCCCTCCCCCCCGAAAAAAAAAATTACCTCTAGATCACATTTCCTTTCACCAGTAATGATAGAGACTCTCACAAAACACAACCCTATAACTCTCAAAATAATCTAAACCATTTATGTTACTGTCAGACACAACTCTTAAAAAAAATTTAAACACATCAATGATCAATACATCAGTAGGGGGTCATGAGGATCCTCTTTTGTGGGGGTCCAAACACTTTTCCTTTCTTTCACCTACCAACAAACACCATCTTCTCTTCCCCATTTCTTACATCTTGTACCAGCCCATACCTATCACCATCATTTCCATACCCATATTTTTTCTTTCCACTAGTCAACTGCCACTAATCAATTGATCTTTTTATATTCATCTCTAAGGTTCCAAAAAACAATACATAGGTTTATATCCAAAGAAAAAATGAACAATACAAAGGCATCATCACACTTTTCCAAACCATCTGTATATTTATATGCGCATATCTTTTTATGGACATATATAGATACAACACAATGAAGGACCCACCAAAAAATCATCTTCAACTACAATAGATCTATCGCAATTCATATTTGTTCCTCTATATACATCGCCCAAATTGTCAATGGAATGAGATATTGGGTTATATACTATGGTGGTGAATATGATGGAAGAGGGGGCTGTGATGGCGTAGAATGCTTGTAGTGGTGGAAGACGATGGGTTGCATGTGATTGGTAACGATGGCTTGCGATGGCCACAGTGGTGAGAGTTGTGGAAAAAGTCTTATATATATATATATATACTTCTCACCGGGACGAATTTTATGAAAAAATTCATAACAAAGTGTGGAGAAGTGGTTTGGAAAAACTCTTAGATCCAGTAAGACACTCATGATCCTCTGATTGTCGCCTGAAAAATGATGAACGCTCCGGTCGGGGGTGCTGGGATTAGCACTCCGACAGACAAGTTAGTATATGCTCTCAAGTTTGCTTCTATCCCAAGTTATCTAATCTATTCACACATACCTTCCTTCGGTTGATGTTTCTCTTATTTATACTAATATCTGGTCATAGGGATCGACCCCACTCTTAATCCAACTCATGATCGCATATCCAGTCTTTCTGTTGTATGCCAATTCTTACTCGGCTCCTTCTATAGCTAATTGCATGGCCGATTTTCTTATATATCTTCAGGACCCCCTTTGGTCAAAGCCGAATAGTATTTGTCCTGATTTTCATTCAAATAAATTTGGCTTTCCTTAGTATTGAATTATTCGGCTCCCACAAGTTTGTGCATTTTGTGAGTTTTCATCATTACGAGTTGAATCAGTTCCATATAAATACTTTTGGAGATTGATGAATATACGAGTATACATAACATACATACATATATATATATATATACTATTTTGTGCTCGTTTGGGATGCCCCATTGGGGTTAAAATAGTCATCTATGAAAGAATAGGCTATTTTAGTCAAATATGATAAAATATCACATATAATCCACAAACGTTTCATTTTTTCTTTCACAAAAGTCAAAAAATCTATCTCAAACGAGACTTTTTAACCCCAGTCTAAAATAACCAAAAATTCAAAAAGTTAACCAACATCGCAAACCAATTTTTTGAATGTCATTGTCAAATTTAAGACTCAAAAAATAAAGGCTATTTTTGTTAAAACACATCATTTACTTGTCATGTATTGTTCATGTGACATTTTCCATTCAAAACCCTAACGGTTTACTAACGGAAGGGGTTTAGTGTCATAAGATGTAGACGGGGTTGAGTGTCGACTTTTAAACATTAAGGGGTTAATGGAAAACAATTTATAGTTAAGGGGTTTATTGTAATTTATCCTTTTTTTCTTTTCTTTTTTATTTTTATTTTTTGCCCTCCAAGTCCCCTCGCCCAGACATTTTAGCGAGCAACAACAGAGTTCGAAATTGCAGAGTGTCCAACAGGCTAGCTATTTTTGCTGTCATCTACATGGTTCTCTCCTTGCCTCACTATAAATTTCAAGAGCATTGGTAGGCTAGGTTAACAGAGTTCTTCGCCTCTTCTTCCACGATCTGCTTCTTAATCTTTAGGGTTTTCAAGTTTCAACAACAACAACACAGGTATGAAACACACACACACACACACACACACACTCTCTCTCTCTCTCTCTCTCTCTCTCTCTCTGCAAACGCCTTAAGGTTGCTTCTGTGGTTTATGTAATGCATTGACAGTTGTCTTGAGATGGAATATGCCCCTTTTATGACTTGGTATTATTGTGCTTATTATGCCTATCTTCTTTTGGAAATGCATTGTCACCTATAGCCCCCTCTTTCCCCCTCTGCAAATGTTCCTTTAGTTTCTTCTCTCTCTCTCTCTCTCTCTCTCTCTCTCTAGTTTATGATCATCTGTAAGCCTGAATAGGACACTACGTAGCTGTAAGCAATTAATAAGAGTATCTCCAGTCCTTCAACCTTTTTTTTTTTATCAAATTTAATTTTGATGGGAAAGTGCTCAAAAATCATCTCCAAATCTATTCATCAATTGTTCATCAAATAAAGGGAAAACCATTTTTTCATCAAATTAGAATTTGATGAAAATTTAAAAAGAGAAAGCATTGGGGATGATTTTTTTAGGATAAGAGGGGAATTTTTAAAAAGATTTGGATGAAAATTTGACAAAAAGGTTGGTGTAGCTCATATCAACTCAAGCTTTTTACTCAAATTTGGAATGAAATTAGATGAAAACATTGATGAAGGGTTGGAGATGTTCTTAGTAAAATGTTTAAGACCCTAAAATATTTTCTCTAAATTTACTACATAGCAGGGTTTGGGTCTTGGTTGATTCCTAAACTAATCAACAACTGCATATAATAGTACACGTCATTGGGAGTATATTTAGGAGTATCCAACATTACTCAATAAATAATTACCAGATCTAAGTATGTAGAGATGTTCAAAGTAATTGGAGAAATGATTTGTTTGGGTTGTATGATGCATTTGAATCCAAAGAATGTCAAATTAAAGGGAAAATTTCCAATAAGTCTTGCTTTCCCATGAAATGTCGATTAGGTCTTATTAACACTTGAATCAACTCTCTCAACATAGTGCTAATATGATTGAAGAGGAAATTTTATGGGGAAAATAGGATTTAATTGGTCAAAATTAAACTGTTTTGATGTATGTTTTCCCATTCTTGATTATAAGGTTATCCTTTATGTTAACTTTCATTAGCTGTTATTAGATACAGTTATATTGAATTTATTGACAGTATATTCTGTGTCATTTAGCAATTGTATTGAATCACTTGAAAATCACATGCATTTCATCAGGAGTTCAATTGAGGATTTTTGGACCAATCACAAATCCATGCTTTGCGTGTGCAATTTGGTAATCACCACTCATACATCAAGTATCAGTTGGGTGTTTTCGTGTCTAATAGATACCTCTTTAGCTGTTTCTTTTTTTTTTGTGTGTGTGTGTGTGTGTGAAGGCATGGGCCGGCTGTGCAATTTGGCAATCACCACTGATTCAGTGGGGTGTTTTGGTGAACAATGGATGCTTCTGAATGTGTTTTATTTGTTTTCCTCAATGTTTTGTTTGAAGTAAAAATGTTTTAAAAACCGACGGCATGTTTTGATGTTTATTGAATTTGAATGATTCTATTTTCAATTTGGACAGCATTTTAATGGAAGAGATCCATCATATTGCTTGGTGCTACTAGGAAAACTAAGGGAGTTAGCTATATATTTTGTTGAGCAGTAAAGGGGGTTCATTATAATATTATTTATAGTTTGGGGGATCGAATTGGGTTTGTTGTACAAAAATGAAAAATCAAATTGTTATTAACATTTAATGCTATCAGGTTATGGATTCTTTATCGGATGAAGAAACCGCAAATTCAGGAACCTCTTCTTATTCTACAGAAGATTTGATAAATTTAGGAGACAACAATGCCGCACATGAAAACTATGGAGACTTGGAGAGATCACCTGGCATGAAGGCTGAAAAAGATCGACTAAATAAACGGAAGACCGAAGATTGTGGAAATGAGGGTACGAGTTCAGCTTTGGTGAGGTTATTAGAAGATATACTGAAAGAGAGAAAGAAAATGAACGAAAAGAAAATAGAAATGTTTGAAAGATCCTATCTTTTAGAGGAAGAAAAGCTCGGTTACAAGAAAGAAAAGTTGCAAATGAAAAAACGGAAAATGGAAGAGAGAATAGTATTCATGGATACTAGTGGGATGCTTCCGTTGCAAGCAGAATATTTTCAGCGCCGACAGATGGAAATCCTCGGAAAAAAGATTTAGTTGTTTTTATTTTATGCTGCAACTATTAAGTTTCTATATAGCTCATGTTGGAACTATTGTGTTTAATTTGGTCGTGTTGGAACTATGTTTCTATTTAGCTTATGTTGGAACTATTGTATTTTTTTTTGGTTATGTTGGAACTATATTTCTATCTAGCTTAAGTTTGGAACTACCTTTTAGAACCATTGTATATATGCAAGTTTGAAACTTGGCACACATACTAGTACAAGTATCATTGAAACAACAAAAAAACTAGGTTGAATCCTTAAAATGGTGAAGGAACAAAACAAGTAAAAACTACAAAGTGAGAATGTATATATAAAACGTGCATACATATATCATATATGCTTGTCCTATAGAAATAGTTGGGGGGTCTAAAGGTGCCCATTGCAAATGATATTCGTGATTTAGAGTTTCTGCATAACCTCTATATAATGGTCTAGGCGCATAACATTGATATGTTGTTTAACCATTACAGGCATGCCTCACCGGCATTAACTTGGTTTTTGAAAAGACAATAATGATTCATAATTCAACTTCTGTCGATTCAATTAGGGTTCACTGTGCCAGTAAAGTTAGATTATTTTCATTTAGTTACTCTTTCTCTAAGGTTTTTTCCCAGACAAATTTAACCCTTCTGCAAAGTGGTTTTCTTCAAATTTCATGAATTGACTATGGTTTGGTTCATAAAAAATGTAAACCCTGTTTTTTTGGGTTTTTAATTTGATTTCAATATCATTGCCTGATTCCTCATGTGTTTCACAACTTTAAAGTAATGTTTAGTTTATCAGAATGAAAATTAAAATGTAATGGCCATTATATCGGAATATTTATTCTCATGTTTGGTTTGATAAAAAGAAAAAAGAATGTACATTCCAAATAGAATCACCATTCACTAGTTTAGGATAATGAAAGCTGAAAAATAACGATTTTATTTTTGCCTAAAATTATTTTAGTGAACCCATCAATAGAGTGGAGTTTGTATAGTCCTTCAAGATTTTGTTTAGATCATGAATTTGAGCAAATATTTAAAAAAGAAAAAAAAAAGTAAAAAAAATACAAATATAATATAAGTTAAATTTTTTTTCTTCATTTCTCAATTTTTCTTTTCCTTTATAAATTCCTATCCAAATCCATGATTCAAACACAATCTAAAATAGCATGTTAAGAGACAACTCTATACGTTCATAGTGTGAGCCAAGAAACTGAGGTCCAAATTCATGACTGTAGTGGACATCAAGAGGCCTCACCCAACCATCCATCTGACATACAGAGGGAGTACAGGGACACAGCTCTTGGCTTGCAAGTTGCGACATTGTCAAAGAGTTTAACCAATGGGTTTTGATGTTGTGGAAAGGTTGAAAAACTCACAAGTGACAATGACATGAAAAGTACACAACTTTAAACATCTAAAGGTCCAACTAAAGAAAGGAATCATTAGCAGGTATTCTTTTGGGATTCTATTGTGAAGAGTTTATGTCATGACTCATGACTGACTTGACCATCCTGGTTCAGAGCAAGCCAAGAGCAAGTACATAATTGTAAAACAACAAATCAAACAAGAAATGAAAACTTGTACTACAGCAGCTGTAAACATTCTCCTCGCTCGGACTTTGATCAACTTGCTCACACAGCTTCTTTTTTGAGAGAAGAGCTCAAGGGGCTTAGTCGCTCTCGAAAGTCGGATGAGGGTTTTGATCAACATTTTTGACTAAGTAGTAGATGCAGTGGTCCATCATAAAAGTTAGGAAAGAAGCCACTATCAATTTCAGTAAACAAGCAGTCAATAGATCAGGGTCACCAAGTACAAGTTACTGAATCAAAGCGGAAACCTCTAAAACAAACCGGGTACTTTGCCGCGGATCATCTTGTGATCCTCCCATCTAAATTCTATGAGAATTCGACCCTGGACTACGTGTTTTTAAATCTGTACATTTTGAATCTCAAGACTGTCAGATAACAATTATAAATGGGCCTCCCACACTACTTTTAGTTTTCTAACAAACCTGAAGAAGCTCATCTGGAGTTGCAGCAGGGTCCAAATCCCAGCACCCATCTAGCACGTTGTCACTTTCCCCTTTTTTAAGCAACCAATAGGGTACCTGATGCGAAAACCGTAGCATCTCTTTCCTTGGAATCCACCGAATCGCATCCTTGTTCTTGTTCCTCTGATAGACCGTTTTGAATCCATCTAGCTTAATCAGGGGAGTGACACAGACTCCAAGATTTTCAGAGTAATCGTCAAGAACTTCTACCATCTCATACTGGTGCCTCAATTCGTCTGGGGTTGATCTGTCCCAATCCGGTGACCAATTTCGATATACAGCCCAAATGTCTCCGCTTCTAGGGTAGATTCTAATACAACCTCCCCGCCCAGCCTTTTCCCTACTCAGAAGATGAGAGAAGATATTGACTTGTTCAACAATGTCAGAGTTCCCTGCCCTGAAATTTCCACAGGATTTTGTAAACCCAAAATTCACCCAATTTACAGACCCAAATTCGCTGTCAGTTTTCGAGTTTAAGTAACTGATGTGAATTTTAAATGGTTTAACTGAGATGACCTCACGGATTAGACAGTACAATCGAGGCATACCATCTTCTTCATCATATAGAGCCCATATTTGCTTTGGCTTGAAGCATTCCTCTGATCTATCCTTGTCAAAATCATGGAAGTCCGAGTCGGGGACTGTAATTGACATTGGCTCAGTTATCTTCAGCTCTGATAGAGGAATAGAGAGGGGCAAATCACCAACTTCATCATGTGCCTTAGCACTCAACTCACTAGCAGTAGCAGCTGCAGCTGTAGCAGCTTCAGCTGCAACCCTCAGTTCTTCCAATTTTTTACGTATTTCTGTTCTTGCTTTGTCCATTAATAACTTTCTTGCATCAAATGCAGGGGCAGCTGAGCAACGTCTACTTGGAGTCTCACTTGGAGTGGTAAGTTTCAAACTAGGTTTGGTGTTTCCATTTCCATTAACCACTGAAGCAGTTTTTGAACCCAATACTTCAATCCCATTTCTTGAAGCACCTCCCACATCAACCTTGCTTTTCTTATTGGGCCTGCTGGCCGTGGAGGCCAAAGGTTCATTAGTGCCAGTTAACACGTTGGAACACACATCAGCTGCAGTATGTTTTATGTGATGCTTTCCATTGGATCTTGTCGTATTACTGTTCGCATCGGCCTTTTGCATAACATTGGCAGATTTAGCCGTTAACCCATTACGATCCACAACTCCAGTAGAAGCTCCGGGGTATGAGCTCCACTGAAATGAAACATTAGAAACATACTCAGATCCATGTCCAGAATGAAATCCCGAGGCCCCATTTCCTGTAAAATATACGCCATTGGTTGGGACATACGTAACCCCATTATATCCATGACTTCCATACCCATTATCAGGCATATATGACCAAGAAGGACAATAAGGGAACGAACCATTTACTGGGGCTGTTCCTGTTTCCACAGCAATGAAAACACCACGGCAGTTCTTACAGGAAAGTTTCTTATTCAAGTACTTCCGTAGATACTCGTATTGAACTTGACAGGATGTGCAGACAGTCCAGAAAGTGTCGAGCCCGTGTGGGACTGAAGACTGGGAACAGTTGTCAAAACCTGCAGCTCCACTGGTGTGAACTGAAGATACATTTTTCTGGACAACCCCATAGGACACTTGTTTGTTTCTCCTGTGATCGTAAGAGCTTCGCTTACTTCTATCAGACAACAGAGTCCACGCTTCAGAGACGAGTTTGAAAGCCCCATCGGCTCCCACAGTTTTGTTCTTATCAGGGTGAAGCAAAACAGCCATCTTCCTATACTGTTTCTTCAACTTAACCTTACCCGCTGATGGCTCCAATTTTAGAATCGAATAGAAATCAGTTTCTCCATTAATCTTAACCTCAGAAGCAACATACACTTCAAATGTAGCAACCATTTGAGATATCCCCTCTAGTTCCGGGTAAAGCATTTGAGCCTTTATAGCATAATTCCTTGCACCCGTGAAGTCTTTCTCCAAAAATCGTTTCTCGGCATAATCTTTAGCTCTAAGAGCCTCCTCTTTGTTTGGTTCCATGGAAAAATCCGAAATTTCGAGACTTGAGTATCAAAATTTCAAAAGGAAAGCCATTCAAACCCCAATGTTCTTAATCACTGAAATCAAACTGCAATACACAAACATGCCACAAGTCTGCAAACATTAGTTCAGAATATTTAAGTTGGTTTGATTTCAAGCTTCAGACCATAATTAATCAACATCCTGTTTCAATGAACCCAAGTAAAGGGCCAACAGAGAAATTAACCGTTTTTTAACAAGATCAAACCAACTACAGAATGAGAAGTGCATAAACTACTTTGAAGAGTTCATTTCCAAACCATACAATTTGTAAAACAATTCATAACGATCTTCAAACAACAAAAATTAAACTCTTTTATACTCTAGGAATTTACGCCAAAATAGTCAAAATCCCAAATTTGAATCCAAACCTAAAAATTGATAATCCAATTCATAGATATACCTAATATACCAAAAAAAAAAAAAAAAAAAAAAAAAATTAACCTAAATTTCATAACTTTGAAGGCACTTCGACTCAGATCAAAAGTTACAGACCCAATTCCAAATCCAAAGACGAAATCAAAACCCAGTTAACCGAATTACCCAAAATCACCCAAAAAAAACCAACTGACAAACTAAAAACCAGCAAGATCGCAGCTAATTCAACAGTCCCCCCAAAAAATAAAAAAATAAAAAACCCTAAAATCAAATTATCCCATTTCAATTAAGCCATCATCCGCATCACTAAAAAAACACACAACTGAACTCAAACTTACTGAGATTCGAACCGAACAGAGGATTGAACCACGACCCGATCGCGAAAAACCTAGCTCGATCGTCGAGTCCGATTCAGATCTGAAGCGAATCAACAAAACCCAGTTTGGTACACCTCTGAAGAGAAAGTACAGGAAGACAAGAATACACACTTATTTATACGAAGAAATTGAGAGTACAAAAAGGGTAGATTAGGGTTGTTGTAGAAAGTGGGTTTAGGGGTGTGTGTGGTGGGGTGTTTATGTGGGTCAGATTGCGGCGGAGAGCGGAATATTCCGATGATCGGCGATGAGAGAGAAAGAGCAAAAAATATAAATATGATAATGTAATGATTAACCAATACCCACTGGAAAGTAAGCGCAGTTAATAGTATTTAATAGGGGAGTGAACCAACGGTGCGCACTTGTGCGTGATGCGCATACCCCCTTTCTTTCTTTTTATTATTATTCTCAAATCTCAATGGTTGTGTTTGGTTGTGGGAAAAGATGGACATTGTTTTATTGTTGTAATAACGTTATTAAAATTATATTGTTTTATTATCTATAGTATTTGTATTATTATATAAGTTCTCTTTATGTTGAATTTTTTTATTTCAAAAAAATAAATTAAATGGAGAAGAAAACGAGACTTTTCTATCAAGACTTTGGAATGAAAAAAAAATATATTACCACTAAAAAACACACAACATTAATTTATTAGTCAAATTAAACCGGTAGTCTTTAAATTTTATTTTTGTGTCATTTTAATTCTTATACTTTTAATTAATTTAATTTTGACATTTAATTTTAGATGTTGTATTAATTTGATTCATTTGATAACTTTGTTAGTATTTTTTTTATGAAAAATTATTACTAAATTGGTTGAAGTTAACTCACTGAGTTGAACAAATTTATAATTTTTTTCTTAAAAAGCATGACATATGTCACTTATGTGCATTTTTTCATTAAAAAATGCTAATAATTATTTTTAAAAATTAGATTAAATTGAAACAAAATCATAAATTCATAGCCAAAATCAAGCAAATTGAAATTATAAGGACAAAAATGACACAAAAATCAAAATACAAGGACTATCAGCGTAATTTGTCCTAATTTATTCATCATTTATTTTTATTTTTACTTAAATTTCAAACGGTTAGTATTTATTATGCTGCTGTTTGGCAAGTGAGTTGGATTTGGGTTGGGACTAAAAGAGCGCAAAAAAATAAAATATGTTAAATAAGTTAATAAAACAAAATGTCACACACAAGCTATAATTATTTCATTTTTTGTTTCACAAAAAGTTAAAAAAATTTTAAAAAAAAAAACTAATTTTTTTTTTCTTAATCAGAACTAATTTAGCCACGCTAAATTAATCAAAAAGTCAAAAAAGTAAGCTAAAAATATTCTTCCAAAACCAACCCTATGTAATGAGATGAATGTTTTTTTTTTTTTTTTTTCACCTTTAGTGATTTTTTTTTTAAAATTTTTCAAAAAACTTTTTAGTCTCTTAGGTTCCTGTGGACTAGACCAATCAGAAAAGTTAATTTTTGGGAAAAAAAAATTTTAAAACAATTCAAAAATGACAAAAAAAAAAAAAACTTCAAGACAAAACAAAATAAGAATTAACTCAAGGGTTGTGACACTTTGGTAAGGTTTTGGGACATAAGTTTTGAGGTTTTAGGTTCCACACTCTCGAGGGCCAATTCTCAGGAATTTGGTGCAGTGTGTTAGATGAACCATATCTAGGGCTTGAGTGTGGGGTTGAATCTTTGCAGCTGTACTCTTTGACTGAAATGGTGTGTGCGTTGTGGAGTTGGTGCACACATCCAAGGCTTGCCCCTTGTCCTACTCCGGTTAACTGACATTAGGTAGTTGTAGACAAGCCCGCGGGGGACCTCGCTACAGCTCGGACTCGACTTTTGCTAGTCACGGTTCTAAGTCTGAACCAAAGAGTCCAAATCCGGCAAATCATTTTAAGAAAAACAGATTTTTGAAAGAAATGCCAAACATGGACTGCTTTGCCAGATACAGAGTCGCCACCTAAATATTTATTTTGGGAAATTGTTTCACTCATTATTTAAAAAATTAGAGCATCTCCAACTTTTTATTACTTTTTTTTCATTTAATTGATTTTAAATTTAAGTAAAAAATTTGATTTAATTTGATAGGAAGAATTTCAATACTTTCATTAAAGTTGCACTAAAATCTTTTTCTCCGTTTGGTAAGAGCTAAACGGGGCTTTTTTTTAGCTATTTTAGCCACAAAAGACAAAATAGGTTATTTTAGCCACAAAAAACAAAATATTACATTTAACCCATAATCATTACATTCTTCTCTCACAAAAAAAGTCAAAAAAATCAAAAAACCAAAAAGCCCTTCCCAAACCAAACTTTTTAGCCCAGACTAAAATAGTCAAAAAAGCCAAAAAATCAAAAAGCCAACCCATTTCCCAAACGGAGGCTGAAATTCACTTGTTATCTCAAATTTCCTTTTTCATCTTTCATCAATTTTGAGGAAAAAAAAAAAAACTTCTCCAATGCTTGATCTTTAATTTTTACCAAATTTAAATTTGATATAAAAAAAAATGATGAATTTCTAATTTGATAAAAAAAAAATTATTTCTCTTTTGATTTGATGAAAAGATTGAAAATAATTTTTGAATACTTTTTCATTAAATTTAAATTTAATAAAAAAAAAGTTAAGAATTAGAGATGATCTACACAACAACAATGACATGGCAAGAGCCATAAAGGCTACAGCCTACTATGAACAACCTAAGCCCACCACTTAGGGCCCAATATATAATCCAATTAATGAAGCCCAGCACCGCTGAAATCCCACATGACAATAAGAACCAATGGCATCAAGACACATGGCAAGAGAAGGGCAAGCCACATCAGCAGACAAAGATCTGCAAAGTTATTGCTACACCACATCGCCATTAATGAGGCCCCTTATAGCGTTTATTACGATAACCCCTCTCCATCGGGACAGCACGCCACCACCTTGAACAAGGTAAGCTACTGCATAGACTTTCGGCCAAGGTGATAGGTCGGGAGGGACAACGAAATGATTACCACAGGATATAAGCATACGTTGAAGACAAGAAGAAGGTTAAGCTTTCTATCTCTAATCTCGTTCTATACTCCACTCCTCTTTCTAACTTGCTCGTCGGAGGGTTCACTGGGGGACTTCCCGTTCCCCGTTGAACTCTTGTGCAGGTCTTCAGGTAGGCTTGGTCATTCGGACATAGGCTTGAGGAGCGTGGATCAGTCCGACCCGTTCTACCATCGCGAACTGTATCATCAGTTGGCGCCGTCTGTGGGAAACTTTCTTACTCTGTGCGCCAGTTGTGCTCATTGTCGCCGGAGGCCCTTTCCCAATAACCCCTTCCTGTCACCTGCGAAGGTGAATGGTCATGACTAGATCGATGGCTTCCCACCCCAATGTTCCCGACCACCAAGCCAACCCTCCTAATCCAAACAACCCACCACAATACTTTACCGAGCTATGTTCCCGACCACCAAGCCAACCCTCCTAATCCAAACAACCCACCACAATACTTTACCGAGCTCACCAACAGCATTAACCGCCTTGCCAAGCAGAACCAGGCTCTAATTAATGCCCTGCTCCAACGAGACCTTCTCATACCCCCTCCACCACCTCCAGATATTCCACTCAACCAAGAACGAGCCCCGAGCCATAATTTCCAGCAGCCTTATCCACCCAACTTGGAAGGCTTTCAACCTCCTCCCCCAAATATAATCCACCACCTCGACCCCTACATCCATCAGTCCTGGCACCAACCCTTGAAGGAGAGACTAGTAGCGTCCAGCCCCGCTGGCCTCCGGTAGTGACAACATTCCTCTCTGGGATGCAAAACTCTGAGCCATGAAGCTCCAATTTCAAGGGGTCATGCAGAATATCCAGCATAAACCCTCTACCACAGCCAACTCACCATTCGTTGCCTCCATCCGGGACAAACCTCTACCCCCCAAGTTAAAAATGCGCACCATCAACTCTTTTGACGGTACGACGGACCCAGTCGACCACTTGGAGACCTACAGGACCCTCATGATCCTCCATGCTTTCCCTGACGAAATCATGGGCCAGGTTTTCCCCGTGACACTCAAGGGGTCAGCTCGACTTTGGTTTAGTCAACTGCTAGCAAACTCTATCTCCACTTTCCAGCCCCTCAGCGACTCTTTCCTCAGCCATTTCATTGGAGCCCAGCGCCAGCGGCGTCTGGCAACCCAACTCCTCAACATCCGTCAGACCGAGGGGGAGTCGCTACGCAGTTTCATTACCCGCTTCAACACCGAAGCCCTACAAGTAGCGAAAAATGATGACAAGGTCATCCTTACAGCTTTCATGGCCGGTCTGCGGTCGTCTGACTTTCTTTTCTCCCTCTCTAAAAACCCCCCGACCTCCATGGCAGCCCTACTCTGCAAAGCCCAAAAATACATGAATGCTGAAGATTCCCTAGCCGCCCGGCAAGATCCTATAACTAAAAACCCGACCCCCAGAGAAAAGAGAAAAGACTCAGAAATCAGAAATACCTAGTACAATAACCAAACATCTCAGTACACTGACCGACCCCCCAGAACCGACCGGTCGGCCCCAGCCCGACCGCCCGGCCGGTTCGAGCGGTACACCCCCCTAAACTCCCCCATGGAACAAGTCCTTCATCAGATCCAGCGGGACTACCCCTTGAAATGGCCCTAACCATCACGGACTCCTTCCAATCGGAAAGGCCAGTCCAAATATTTCCATTTCACCAGGACCACGGCCATAATACGAAGGAGTGTATTAACCTCAAAGATCAAGTCGAGGGCTTTATTCGTCAAGGACGCCTCAGCCGATTCACGGATACTCGCCCTAACCTGTAGACACCCCATTTTTGGCCGACCTTAAGACTCATACGTCATCGATTAAGCGCTCGATGATTGCGCATGTTGTGCTCGTTCTGAGGTTACGGAGTCTCAACTGAGAGCCTTGCCTCCGGACTTCGGGACTCTTTTGTGATTTGCCTCGGTTTGCGAACCAAGTTATATTTTCTCTTTCCGAAGGGAGGGAGAGGTCCCGTAGACCATCTCTCAGTGGCCGTAGGCTACTTTTCGTGGTCGTAGACCACTGTTCCCGTTTGGAGACCAGTTTCTGATTTTCCGAGCCGTCGGCCGTGCGCCTCGGTTCGGGACCGCTTAACTTTCTCCGTTTGCTCCGGTTTTTGGCACACACCTTGTTTTCTCTCTATAGAAGGACATTGTGGCCCGGGAGACCACCTTCGTGGTCGCACGCCACTTTTGATGCTTAACAGTCAGTTTTCGGGACACCCGGCTGCGCGTTTTGGCCCTTGAACCCTCGTTTTGCATCGGTCTTGGTTCATTTTTGGCATGGACCCT